AGATAATTATTAATTAAAAAATGTGACCACAAATTAAAAAATTAAAATGGATAAATTTGTAAATAAAATTAAAAAATTTTAATCCGCTAGCGGTTAGGTACAAAAAGTTACATAAACTAATTTTTTTAATCCGCTAGCGGTTTGGACTCTAACTGCCATCCGATAGTCTCAAACTGCTAAATAAAAATTTTACCAAACTCTTTATTTATAGCGGTTTTGAAATATATAAATTTACCAAACACCTATATTTAGCGGTTTAGGTAAAACCACTAACCACTACCCCAAAACCGCTATACCAAACGGGGCCTACATCACTTTGTGGTGTCAAATATGTCAAATGTTTATATTTTTTTGAATGTGGTGTAAAATATTATAATTGATAACACTAATCTTGTGTCAATCAATTTTTGATATCATATATTGACTATTTGACACTGTATAGTCATTTTTCTGGTAGTGTAATTAATTAGATCTTTTCTTGGATAACAGTCACTGGAAGGATGGATTTAGGCCATTCACTTTTATACATCAATGAAGACATAACAGAGTCAAGATTAAAGATCAAGATAGTTAGTGTTACCTATATGAGTTTAGCAGAAGAAATTGAAGAAGTGGATGTGGATAACCAAATGAAGCTAACCAAAGTACAAGTGGCAGATCATCAGCTTATAAAGCCAATTTAAAAACAATTTAAAAATGACAAATATCCTAACTAAAGTGAAGAGACTTTTCTAGTAAAGTTATGTTCATTTGCAAGAAAATTTAGATATTTTCATTTTATATCTCAAAGAGAACATAACTTAATTATAATAGAAGATCTAGATGATATACCTGTGTGTTGCATCTAAGAAATTGCAGAAAATGGATACTGATAACCAAATCAGCTAGGCCAAGAGAATTAGATATAGTAGCAAATCAGTTCAATTGCAAGGCTAATTTTGTGAGATGATAAAAAGTGAGTTGACTAAGCAAAAGAGGAGAAAAACTTGTCCAAATTATAGTCAGAAATTTCTTGGAAGATGGTTGGCAAATGCCAATGAAATGAATCTGCAAAAAGCTATCCAATGAGGTTACAATAAGAAAGGCGCAAAATTAGTTTATTATTATAAAGGGATTAATAATTGTGCAACTGCTTCGTATTATAATGTATAAAAGAAAGACTGAAGTATGGAAGGAAAGATGAAATGATAATGTATAATTACGTCATAGGTTAAATTTGGCTAATTTATTTCAAATAAAAAATAGAAAAATTAATTTCATTTAACTTGAAAATATGAGAGGAGATTTATTTTAAGATATATAAAAGTTCATTCCAGTAATCCTGGAAAGTAACACACACATTGCAATATCAACCGAAAACCCTGCCCTTGAAACAACTCATGCCATATTTATTAACTTATACATTGTAGGACCAGGTACACCCTCCAGAATATATATATTTATGGATGGATCTCTAAACCATACTTTAATTTTAATTACTAATATTTTACACTCTTTACTTTCGAAATAATTGATACTCTCTCTGTTGTTTTAGCTGTTCTAGTCAAGTAACTTTATGTAAATTAATTTAATGATTTTATATAATAAATAAATAATAATTAAAAATATTTTTTGATTTAATCAATAAGAATTATACATAGATAAAAAATTAATTGTCATCCATTTACTATATAAAATAATTTGATTAAATTTTATGTAAAAATCAAATTAATATAACTAAATTAAACTCAAGGGAATACGTTTTTACTTTAAAGTTATTATACTTTAAAGTTGTTATAAACTAAGCATTGTTTTTTCATTTTTTAAGGTAGAGAAATATATATATATATATATATTTACTTTAAACATATCATTATCAATTTATTTTAATTATTTATCTTATCATAAAAAGTATTTTTTTTATCTTTTATTACTTCATTAAAGATAATATAAGTAAATACATAAATTGATTTTAAATCTTTAATTTGAAAAAAAAGTAAAAAACAGACAATTATTTTGGAATATAAAGATTATATTTTTGAGATAATAAAAAACAAAAAAACTTAGGCATATAAGGACAAACACAACACTCCTAAACATAACTTCATTTCAATAAAATAATAACTTTTATTAAATTTGAGTTGTGCAACCTGCAAGTGGATGAATAATTGAATAGATTATAGTGTGTTTGGTTTGGCTAACTTTAGTACACTATAATTTTTTTCAAAATAGCTTGTTAGAGTGTTAAGAAGAATCAACTTATAAACTAATTTTAAGCTAATAGCAGTTATGAAATAATATAGTTTCAATTATACCAAATAATTTTTAAAAGATGTTTCTCGTTTTACAACTTTAATATAAAAAATCATGGGATTTAGATGTAATTTCCTTTATAATTCTCTATTGAAAAAAAAAAAATAGACATGCATTAACATAATCTAAATAAAGATTAGATTTTGAGGTAACAAACTCCTACGATATCAGCTAAGCATAAAAGATCCACATTATGAGAATAATTCTGCAAAATGACAAAATAATAAGAGGAGTGGGCCCCTTTCTTAGCAAATGGCATCAGCAACCATGCATGTTACACTTCCTGAGAACATGCTTCAGCTAATCAATTAAACCAATGCCCCGTTCCTTACTCCTTTCTAATTCCAAGATGTTTAATTGATGTTTCCGTGATATTTCGAATTTCTTGGCAAATGGCAAGGACTTGGTTTTGCCTTTTCTTTTCGGCAATTTTTGTCAACCAAAGTGTTCCCGAAGGCAAAGAAAAAATATACAAATTGTCCGCATTTCAATTATGTCATGCACCTTTCGATGTCCGGTGACAATTACAACTTCCAGCTTTATCCCTTTTTTATCTTCTCATCTGGGCCATCTTTTTTTTGAATTAATATAATTAGAAAATAGGAAATAAAATAGTCAAAATTTGAATTTTAGATTTTTAAATATTATTATATTATACTTTTCAAAGTAGGAGGCCCTCAAAGGTGGTTGGCTCATTTGGTCCATCGAGTAGTGCTGCCTCTACTGTGAATAATTGACTAAAGGCAGACTGTCCCACTTCAATTATGGTCATTGAGGAATAATTTAGGGTATGCATATGGTGCGTGGAAAATAGAGATAAAGAGAGGGAAACGGAGAGAAATTGAAGAATACCAAATATACGAATTATGAAAATATGTTATAAAATTTGGGGCATAACTTTCATTTCCTTCTCTTGTTCTCCTCTTTAATTTTCTGATAACTTAATAGAGGAATATTTTTTCCTCTCTTCAAATTAAACATACTTTTATTTATTTATTTTTTATTTTTAAGATGTCAATTAATATGATTATTTATATTTTACTCTTATTTTAAAAATATATTACAATATATATATCAAGAAAGTTTATTTAAGTAACGATTAATCAGAGATAAATATAAAATTAATTAATTAGTACATTATTTTTTAGTAAAAAAATTAGATATATTGAAATTTAAACTTAAAAAAGTATTTATGTCATAAAAGAGAATTTATACAAATAAAAAAACAACTTTTCAAAATTTTATTAATTAAAAATATGATATTTTTCTTTTATTAATTAAGACTCACATTTCAAAAGTTTTTAATTATGGATATGACTTGCGATTTTACTAATTAAACTTATTACCTTTCAAAAATTTTAAAATACACTAATCTTAATTTTAAAAAATGCCATAATACTAATTAAAAATTTTTTAAAAAGTGATGTCTTTATTATTACCATATTGTGATGATATAAGATAAAATTTAAATGGTCAAACTGCTGTTTTAAATTTATTTATCCCTAAGATAAGGAGTACAAAGAAATATCTCTTGCCAAGAAATTCCAACCAAAGGAAATATCATGGAAACACATCTCCTTAGCCATTAATTTACGTTATGACCAAAGAAAAAAAAAAGGAATCATTATGTGTTTGACTAAAGGGCAATTTTTTCTGAAAAAGCTATTGCGAAGATATTATATAAAATATTAGAAAGTATTATACAAAAGGTCATTAAGTTTTATAATAAAATTTTTTTAAATTTTATTAAGATATTAATTTTTTGTATTTAGTAAAAAATTGATATAGAAAAAATTAATAAGAAAAATTTGTTAAATAAGTCCAAAAAAAGTTGTGAAACTTTTTTTCTTAAAAAATTATGAGAAGAAAGGTTTATACATTAATAATTGTGTCATGAAAAATAAAACTTAAAAATATCCCATTTAATGCTTTATCTATTATAATTTTAAGATGTGTAAATACCAAAAACACCTTCACAAAGTCTTGAAAAGGGATATTTTCAAGGAAAGATTTTCAAACACACCATTTAGAAAAAGTAGTAGAAGGGAAGCCAAAGCAACAAGAAAGGACATTGCTAAGAAAATTACTCTTTGCCAAAGAAGAGACATCGGAAACATCCCATTCATTTTCTTCTTATAGCTGTAAAAGACGAGACAAAGAAATGAGAAAAGAGAAAGGAAATATCAAAGAAACTTCCCCTTCCCAGTGAATTATTCCTCCCCCAATGAAAGGTCCAAAAAACTATTTGATCAGATTTAATTTTCAATCAGACGTGGAGTACTATATATCTTATATTTCATTTCAAGCCTCTTATCTACAATTCTAATATTAATTTTTTTTTTATCAGCAAAATAATTTTATTAAGGAGTACAAGGGTACTCTAACCCATTACATCATCACAAAAGTTGATTAAATTACACTACTCAAAACAGTCCCACATAATTTTCCTAGATGGTTTGTGCTTTTTTACATGCTTCCCTGGGGTTCTCAATCCATAGCTCCTTGGGCATTTTTTCATTTAGGTTGGCTTTCACCCAGCTTAGCGAACGTAGCTTCATTAAATCCACCACAGTAGCTAGATTGTCATTTCCTTCTTTGAACATCAATTTGTTCCTCCACAACCAAATGGACCAGATAACTGAAAACCAAATCACATACCATGCTTGCTTTAAAATTCCAATTTGTAGCATTCCAACGTGTTGTTGTAGGTGGTTCCAGCCTTCACATGCAAGAACAGTCTGCAGGCCCCACCATGCGTATGAAGCTTGCCAAAGTGCCCAAGTCGCCTCACAAGTGAAGAACAAATGAGTAGCAGATTCAGTATGTTTTCCACAAAATATGCATAAAAAATCATCCTCGGTTCCAACGATTCCTCTTTTTAACAAATTATACCGGTAGGAATTCTATTTTACAATTCTAATATTATGTCTGGGAAAATAAACTATTTCCCTAATTTCCCTTCAAGTTCAGAAAAATAAGGCATGAATTAATTTTTAATTGAGAAACCTCAAAGGAAAAAACCACCAGTTCACTAGAAAAACACATGCTAAAATCTCCCAGAAGAATTCTTGAAACACCAAACATGGTGTCGGTAGTCTTGAATTTTGATTTCAGTAGCTCCAAATTTACAAGTCGCATATGAAAATGTAGGCAATCAGTTTCGGCACTTTTAATGTTTAGGATTTTATTTTCTTCATTCTTAAACGGTAGATTTTATTTTGCATTACTATCCAAGAGCCGACCTAAGAGAGGAATAGCTCAACGATTAACACTTCTAGTTCTTAATTACCAGTGTGGTTCCCTTGAATTGTGCCAATGTATCAAAACCACTGTAATCAACAACAATTACAATAGGTTTGTGTGTTTAGTCACTCTTCCCACTCCTATAGGAGTTCTCAATTACACCCAGCCTCACCACTCACTAAGAATATGTGACCCAATAAGCTCTAGAGGTGTTTTCTGCTAGTATTTATAACCCTAGATTCATTAAACCAGAAAAGAAAACCCTTAGAATTTACTGAAACTCAGTTCGCTGAAGTTGAAGCCAAAGTCGATCCGCTTTGAAAACTAGAAGTTGACTACAGTGAGTGTGGTTCACCTGTATTGTGCCAAAATCTCAAAACCCTTCTCCAAGTCAATCAAAGGATTTGATGAAGTTCTGCTATTTTTGTTTGCAACAAGTGCAGCCCAAAAGCAAATATTCCAGCAAAATAGGCCTGCAGGAAGAAAAGCTACTTTATTAGTAAACCATAATCTATGAAAACAATCTTCCTAGATGAAACAACCCTTAGAACTGATGCACTACTACTTGGATGCGAAACGCACTAAGAAAATTACGTCTCTAGTTAAGTCCCCTTAGCATGAAAGTTAGCCTCAAGTTCTTCCAAGTTTGAATTCATAACAAGAGATGGTTCTTTGCCATCAACCTGAGTAAAGAAATAAGGCAAATCTAAATTTTTCTGACAAACATATATAAGCTGAAAACTCTTCCCGTACCTCATGATACCATGGTACAGATCCAACATATCAATTCAGTTCATGAGCATATGCGATATCTGAACTCCTCCAATTCTAATCCTTGTACTGGATCCTTTCCATTAGAACCTCTCCCGAGCTCAAAATTGGATAATTTCTTATCTGAATTGATGCAACAGTTAATTAACTACACAACTTTTGTGCACCATTTATAAAAATTGAAGATAAAAATAATTGGGTTCTAAAGTATTTCGAAAGACCTGATAAATGCTTTTCAAGTTTCAATTAGACCTGCACTCGTAGAAAAGTCCTGTGAGGTTGCTGCCTCCATTGCGACAAGTGCAAACAAATATCTCAGAGCCTTTCTACAAGTTGAAGGATTTGATGAAGTTCTGCTGTTTTTGTTTGCAATAGGTGCAGAACAAAAGCAAAAGTTTTTACATGCAAGCAGAATTGATGAAGTTATTAAGGAATCCTTCTAGAGGGAATTACTTCTTTAGTTGAATCTTCTTAACATGAAAATCAGCAAACACAGAACTCAAAACATCCAAAGCAAAGAGTGTTCTTTTTCGTAGACCTGAGTAAATAATTCAGTTAGAGTAGAGAGGAAATGAAACATATCCAACATCCCAAAGGTGAATTATAGCAAACACAGACCTTACAAAAATGAAAACACCAACAACTCGAGGAGAGAACCACTCAACTGGTTAGGTCACTTGATCTGAAGTTTAACCTTGTTCAAGATTTTGAATTCAAGGCAGGAGAGGCTTCCCTAGAAAGTTTCCCAAAGATTAAAAACACAAATAAAAGTAAAAGAAAACTGAACTAAACAAAAGATAAATAATAATAATTAAAAAATAAAAACAAAATCAAACAAATATTTGAGATATAAAATTTTAATTAAATTTAGAAAATCCACGTAGAAGCAACTCAATTTATTAAGTTCCAATTTCAATGTGTAATACAGAAAAAGAATAATGAATATGAGGAAACATAGAAGCCTACATTATTTTAAAAAGTTAAGCATAAATTAGTATTTTGGCTTTATGAAACTAAAATCCAAACTCATGGTCATGGCAAATACGGGTGGTGTTATTGCCACAGCCATTAATGTTAATGCCACAGCCTGTGGCATTAACATTAGTGGCTGTGGCAATAACACCACCCGGCAAATACTAACCTGAAAAATCAAATCTTGAAGCTCCTATCCTGCAAATATATGTTTAGGCAAATTCTTTGTTTTGTCTCTTTGATCCATCTCTGTTTCAAAAAGGGCATCCACCAGCTGATAATATGGCAAGCACATGGATGAGAGAGATGTTATGCTCTGCAGTACAACAGGAAGATACCTTAATGACAATCCAACAAGATGAAAATCAGAAAACAAATTTACAATCAGATTAATGGAAGACAGATATATTTCTGAAACTTAACATAAGAAATGAAATATCACTTAAATTAAATCACACTGTATGGGAAGTGAAATCCCCAAATCTTATTTTGACCTCGACACCTTTTGCTTTACCAAACAAGATCTATCACAGAGATAAAGTCCACAGAGCATATAATTCACTAACCAATCACAGAGATCAAGTTCAATGCATGCAATTCTTTTCTACCAGCATGCAAGTGCTAAGTTCACAGCATGTAATTCACTTACCAATCAAGATCAATCACAGTGATCAAGTTCAATGCATGCAATTCTTTTCTACCAGCATTCAAACCAGATTTTTTAGAAAAATTGAGGCAGATGCACATCCTCATAATTTTGAGACAACATAAGCCTATCTCTATTGACTTAATTTTTTATTTTTCCCTTAAAAAAGTGAAATAACGGGAAAACTAACACAAGCATATCCCATATAAAGGCAGGACCAACGCTCATTGTCTTCAGTTCAGTCATTTCTATCTCGAACTGCCCAAACTTCAGACAAGGAATGTTTTCTCAGATATTTGTCATTCGAACCAAAACTCCCAAAATTCCAACGTAATTCGAGATATACCTGCTGTTAAAATAAGGTAAACCTTGATATGTATTGAACGCTCCGGTTCGGCTGCATCCAATTAGCGACAATCAGTTATTATGTTATAAACTTATAATTGGAAGGATCCAGGTTCGAGAAATTGAACATACCCCAGTGTTATTTGGATTGCACCTGATCCACATTTATTAATAGATCCTCGGGCCTGCTCTATTTGTGGAATCTTCAATTTGGCACGGTTATAAACGCCCCAGCTCTCAAGAGAAGTGAGGTTTTCCAAACACTCTCGCAAAGCTTCCAGGCTGTTGAAGTTATATAACTGCAATGACGTGAGGGCAGTGAGATGTTGAAGCTGATGTGGCAGAGATTTTAGTTTATCCCATACATTCAATTGTATGAATAAACCAAGTTAAGTTTCATCAAACTTGCAAGTGTATGTTATGAATCCGTTATACCCAACAGTTTTGGTTTGAGAAATTAAACATACCTCACTCTCTTATTCAGATTGCCGCTGCAGGTACACAAAATTTATTCTGATGTTGGGGATGTGGGAAATCTTGGCCCATTCGGGGCCGCTCTCTTTGGCGCATCTTTCTTCTAATTTGGGACAGTACAAAATTTCAAGAGATTGTACGTTGGAGAGGCGTCGCATGGCTTCGATAGAAGGCAGATGAGTCAAATTAGAGCAATCCCAAATCTGCAGCCTGTGAATAGAAGTGAGGTTTTCCAACCACCCTGGCAAAGCATCCAGGCTGTTGAAGTTATATAACTGCAATGACTTGAGGGCAGTGAGATGTTGAAGCTGATGTGGCAGAGACTTTAGTTTATCCCATCCACCAAGTGTCAAAGATCTAAGGGAGGCTTGGAGTTGAAGGATAGAAGTGAGTCCTGGATATTCCTCCAACTCTGACCAGAAGGGACCGAATATTAACTCCTTCAATTGGGTATTCATACCCACCCACTCCTCCGGAATGCTCCTTAGATTTTCACACCCAGTAATCTCCAAAAAAGTTAGCGAACTTGATCTTCCAACATCTTCTGAAATAGAAATTATATTGTCACAACAGAAAATACTCAACTTTTGGAGAGAGATGCAGGATTCCAGCCCTGACACACAAACCAGTTCATTACACCGACGAATTTCTAATGTTTCAAGAGAGATCATCTCCTTCATGCTCAGAAAGGACATACAGCACCGTTCAAGGAGCAAATACTTGAGAAAACTGCAGGAGCCCAGCCCACTTGGGAGAGATCCTAATTTAGTTAAGGTTAAACTTCTAAGAGATAAGAGCCGTTCCATACTTGGAAGAGTCACTAGGTTTAGACAATCATGTATATCCGCTTTTGAGAGCTTATGATGAGATGAAAACCCACTCATTGACCAGGTCTTTAACTTTGGAAAATTTTCAACATATAAATCCTCAAGGCAAGGAAAGATGGTGGTGCCTTCTATTTCTGCCCATTCCTCTAGGATTTCCATGTCTCTTATAGTGAGTTTTTTTAAAGCTGGGAACAATATGATTGATTTTTTATCATCACAACTGCTACTTGTCATATTGCTTCTGTCAAGACAAAACTTGCTACCCATACGTTTCACCTTTGGCATTCCTCTTATTTCAAGATCCTCGAGCTTAGGTATAAATCCCAAACTCAGAATCTCTACACATTCATTGCAGTTATGTAACTTCAAAGTCAAAAGATTGTCCAGTGGAGAGGAATCGCCAACAAATTGAACACCCATCTCCAGCCACGAGGGAAACTTTTCTCCCTCATAACCTTCAATGGTCAAGTGTTTCAAATTTGAGGGAGGCCTTAGACCTTCCAAAACCTCATAATTGTTGTAGTCTTCATTGTTTCTGTTCCATTCAACTTCCAACTCATCCAATTTTGTCTTCTTGTCCAAGTTTGCTTTGACGGCTTCTGACATAGCTCTGGCAAATTCAAGGTTGCATATTTTCAATGCTCCTCCAAGTTGACTTAGGCATCCAAGTTGGTCCAGGTTTGCCCTACTCACGATAAATAATGGTAAGGTTTGAAGGGAAGTTAAATGCCCAATCTCTCTTGGCATCAACCATTTGTTGTCAAAATGAAAATGTCTCAAGCTGATCAAATTTCTCATCTCATCAGACATTTGCAGAGAAAAGCACCCCATAAGTCTAAAAGTTTGCAATTTGTAGAGTTTGAAAAAGAATTTCTGTGGTACAACTATTCTACTTTGCGAGAGGTCAAGGTATTTCAAATGCTTCAGTTTGCCAACAATAATGGGCAATTGTCCCCGCCTAGCTCCCACTATTTTTAGAGCTCGCAAGCTTTTGAGATCAGATGCACTGGAAATGAAAACATCAACCTCATCCAAGAACAAGGAATGCAATCTTTGAGCAACACCTCTTGGAATGATTGGACGCTCGTTCCAATAATGCTTTACTCTTAAATGTCGAATTTTAGCATCCAGGTCAATTTTGCAACCAGTCTCCCACACAAAAGTATCACCTTTTGAAATAGACAATGCTAAATCATGCACCGCATCATGCATCTTGCAAGATCTGATATTCCTATATTGGTCCCTGCGCACATCTTGAAATAAGGAGTTAGATAACAAATCACTAAAGTAATCATTGCCAACATCCTCCATTGTGATAGAGCTTTCATTAGGTTGGTAAAGAAACCCTTGAGCCATCCAGAGTTGAACTAAATCATCTTTTTCAATGACAAAATCCTTTGGAAAAATTGAACAGTAAGAAAAGCATTTTTTCAAAGGAGAAGTCAAATTATTGAAACTTATTTTCAGAATAGATAAAATCTTCTCTCCATCTGGTGAATTCAAATTCCATGCTTTATCATCTCTGATATCCTTCCATTCATCTGCACTAGTTTGACGGCTCAATGTTCCTCCAATGACACTAGCAACTAATGGCAAACCTCTACATTTTTTTGCAATATCCTGTCCAATAGCTTCCAAATCAGGAGTCATTGAAGTTTCTGTGGATGATCTAAGAAATTTATCTTTTATTATCAACCAGCACACGTCATCAGATAACCTCTCCATGTTATAGCGTTGCATAGGAATTGACTCCATCGCGGATGCTACCTTTCCACTACGAGTTGTTATGACAATAGAGCTCCCAGTAGTCTTTAGAATTTTTAACAAACAAGAGCTGAAATGTTCCCCCTTGTCAGGATCTTCATTCCATACATCATCAAGAATGAGAAGAAAAGTTTTATTCTCTAATTTTTTTGCAAGATCTTCAAGCAATGCATTAATACTCTTCTTTGAAGCAACACTACAATGAAAATGCTCTGACATCTCTCTTAAAATGTTTGGATCATTGAAGTCCTCAGATACACACACCCAGGCCGCCAGATCATAGAGCTGTTCTTCCTTTGCTTTCATGTATACAGATTTTGCTATTGTCGTCTTTCCAATCCCAGCCATACCTACAATAGAAATGCCAGAGATGGGATGTTTACTCCTCCTCAAGTCACGCAACAAGCTCAGAATTCTTGAGACATCGTCGTCCCTTTCAAATACTGTGGAATTATCAAGAAAAGAATCTGTCTTTGGATGTTGCTTTGGACAAGGTTGGCCTCTCAATGAGACCACGAGGTTGATCATGCTGGCCCAGTCTTTCAAGTCATTCAACTGCTTAGTAATGTTGTTGATTTTGTCAGCCATACGATTACAAAATAAGGGAGAAAAGTAGACGGACTCAGGATTCCAGTGCCTACGACTCTTAACTTTGTTCTTAAGAACCTTGTACTCAAAGTCACCCAATGCATCGACTGCCTCATAAGCTACGTCTTTCAGCTTCTGTAGCCAGTGCCTTATAGCTGGGTCACCTTCTTGCCTTTCCTCTGCATGTTGGATGACAGATTGAATGAGAATAAGAGAGTCGCGAAGCCTATCAAGCTCCTTTTCCAAACCCACCGCAATTCCGATTCGTTTTTTAAGAAATGAAACTGTTTTGGAAATTGCCTCCTCAATGACAGGGCTAAGGATGGTGAGGGCGATTTCAGTCATTATCATTAGACACAGGGAGAAAGATTGCAAACACAATTGAATTCTGAGACACAGAAAAACATGCAGAATAATGCTACATGAGCAGACATGTATATGGTAAGAATGAAATGTAGAAGAAGATTCTACAGGAATTTCATTTGAAAAACTTACAGCACTAATATCTCCTTTCCAGATCTAATCAATCAGAGGTACAGCTGGTAAATTTGCTATCAATTCATACGATGGTGTTTCAGAACAACCCAAAAAGAAAAGAACAAACAACAAACTATATAGAAACTAAAGAAATTGAATGTTTTTGACTAATAAGTATCCAAGTAATGTTGTATTTTTGGGGCTATAGAATAACATGTAGTATATATTTATATATATATATATATATATATATTTTAGTACCTTCCTCCCAGTATCCGGCAACCATATTGAGTTATGACTAATCTAGAATCGAATTAGGTCGGACCCTATTAGGAAAAACTCTCTCAACACTTGTTTCTCTATTTACAAAACTCGAACTCAAAACCTTGTTTAAAAAGAATCAAATCCTTTATACTCGGACCAACAAGTTCATTGGTATTTTTATATTTTATTGACTAATGAAAAGAGAAAACAGAAGCAAAATCATATAAATAGTTAAATACTGTTAAAGCT